ACAAACCTAGAACATGCCTGGAATGTTAACATAACATATTGAGAGTTATTCAGATAACTATAGCATAAATAACATGCTAACAAGTTTACCAAACCATCTGTGTCTCCAAATCACTAAATCAAATGAAATCTTCATCCTCTGTGTTGTTTGTAAACAACTCTGCTAATGCTGACTGTAGAATAACACAAGCCTAGAGCGCCCTCGTGTGGTTTAGTGTGAAAATAACGTGATATGATATAATGATATGTTAATTTCCACACTTAAATCGCCGTAGTATAAATCGCACCACCGGCCAAACTATGAAGAAAACTGCGACTTATAGTCCTGAAAATGTGGGGTTTTGCTGTTCTGTATAGTCTTTTGTATTGTGTGTGTGTGTTTTTTTTTTGTATTTCCTTCTAATTCACGTAAAACTCTTTGAACTGCCTTACTACTGAAAATGTGCTATATTAAAATTATCTTCCTTTTTGTTTTTGCACTGTGGCTTTTTTTGGCGAAGAATTGTATGGTGGTTTTCAAATTTTGTTGATCCTTTGGTTAAGGATCAAGTCCTTTCAAAAACATATATTACATGCATTGGTCATGATATTTTTTCATTTTGTATTGCACATATGTATTGGGCTAGAGTTGGAGTGGCTGCAAAGCCTTACATTGCTAAAAATATTTTGAATTACCCCAGCTTACCCATGAGTTATTTGCAGTTCAGAGCAACAGGGCTGCCATCTTCAAACTGAAAAGTGGGATGGAGCTGAGAAATCCCCCGGAGGAACGTGTCTTATACATTGAGTTCTAACCACCATCTTCAGAATCCCTTCCAAACAACACAATGTGCTCATTAGCTAAACAGCACAGCAGAGAGTTAGAAACCACATCAACCAGAGTCAAGCTAAATGTTCATGAGTGGTGGAACCCAAGCAGGCCACAGTGTCAGACTGAGATCTCTTGGTATTAATTAACACCCTAAAAGAAGGAGAATCAGAGCGAGTAATAGTAAAAGAATGAGCAAGAGCATTCTTCATGTCAGCTGTTGACAGAGACTAAATCCCTCCAACGCCCCTTCACTCTCCCCTGTAACTTCAAGCTGTTAGTGAGGGCTCCCAGTACCATTAAAATTGTTTATGAAAGTATTAATTAACCATTCTAGAGAGTAAAAATAAAGAATCATGTCATGTTGTGTAGCGGGTTCTGCATGTGGTTAGCCACCAGGGTTAGTAACCCTGGCTGACCTGGTACAGAAGAAACAGGGCGAGGAGCACAGCTAGCTCATCAAACCTGCTAGTGTTCATTTGGATTGTGGGAAATGAAGGAATTTTTCACGCAAATTCGGAACGCTCAAGTTTGAAACCTCAACCATCTGTGGACAGTGTGCGCAGAGTGCTAACTGACTACGAACAGTATGCACCAGTATGTGGAAGACTTCATCATTTAGAAACCCCAGGTGGATCCTTGATGGTAGTTCAGGAGGTTCCACTTCTAATTTTAAGTCTGACTTGGGGTCAAACATATACCACTGTATTAACCCAAACCCTAACCTAACTGTTTACAGCCATTTTCCTGTGTGAAAGTAAACATTAAGTTGTAGGGCATGGCTGCTGTCTAACTGCAGTGAAGTGACCAAAACACACAAGCTCTTTCATGTTTGGTGGGTGGCACTTCTCAAAATAGTACCCTCAAACTCGATAGGGGGAAACAATACTCTGGTGTTGACACCTCAGAGAATATAAGGTCGCAGCACAAGGCATCCCGAGAATACCATCTGCACGTTCAGGATACTGGGAGGACGTGCTAAAACCATTTGTGGGAAATGTCCAGGGAAGTCAATCTCAGAGAACTCTGCATGCATGTATACACAGGCATTGCTATGTCTTACAGTAAATGCACCAGATAAATGGCTTGTAAACAAGAGATGAGAGCAAGGTTCTGATTTTACAAAGTGGAGATTTCTTCACCATCCAGCTGCAGGCACATAAATGTCTCAGTGTTGCTGGGGTGGACCACTGCAAAAGCTCATGGTGTTGTCTAAAATAACGCTTTGATTCTTTTTTTTTTCACAATTATTTGTCTCATATTCTATTGTCATCGCAGTGATAGTTTTAACAAATATGTAAAAAAAAATAAATCACTATTTATAAAAACTGTATACCGGAGCATTTTTCAGACTGTATACTTCTGTTCCTCTGGTTTGACTATTTAAATAAAATATTGTCATTAATCGTCAATACATAATACTTACAGAAGAAAAATAAGACCGTAACATGACAACAGTAACATACACCACACGTAACAGCACTCCACTGAATTACGTACACTTCTTCCCAATTCACATGCACATGAGCAAAAACCCTAAGTCGTGATAAACAGGTGTTTCACAAAATTAATTTACCCACAAAAGATGTCTTAGATTCACCAACATACATTAACTGACAAGACAGTGAAATCAGTGCAACAGGTGCTTACTAAGGTAAGTATTCCTACTGTAAAGCTTGCTGTAAACTCAAACCTATTTAGTTTTGAGAAAAATCAATTAAAACAAGCTTCCTCAGGACATGATCTGCAGCTCTCGCTGGAGCGTTTCTCAGCTGAGCGTGAAACGGCTGGGATGAGGATCAGTGCCTCCAAATCCGAGGCCATGGTCTTGAGCCGGAAAAGGGTAGAAAGCCTTCACCAGGTCGAGGGGGGTGTCCTGCCCCAAGTGGAGGAGTTTAAGTATCTTGAGATCTTCTTCATGAATAGGGAAAGAAGGGAGAGGGCGATCGATAGGCGGACTGGCGCAGTGTCTGCAGTGAAGCGGGCGCTGTACTGGTCCGTCGTGGTAAAGAGAGAGCAAAGCTCTCGGTTTACTGGTCGATCTACGTTCCTACCCTCATTTGTGATCATGAGCTTTGGGTTTTGACCAAAAAAATGAGATTGCGGATACAAGCGTCCAAAATTTGTTTTCTCCGTAGGGTGTCTGGAGTCTCCCTTAGAGACAGGGTGAGAAGCTCGGTCATCCGGGAGGGACTCAGAGTAGAGCCGCTGCTCCTTCACATCGAGAGAAACCAGTTGAGATGGCTCAACTGGTTTCTATACCATCTGGTTAAAATCCCTCCTGGACGCCTCCCTGGTGAGGTGTTTAAGGCACGTCCCACAGGGAGGAGAGCCCAGGGAAGACCCAGGACACGCTGTGGGGACTATGTCTCTCGACTGGCCTGGGAACGCCTTGGGATTCCCCCTGAGGAGCTGGAACAATTGGATGGGGAGAGGGAAGTCTGGGCCTCCCTTCTGAAGCTGCTACCCTCGCAACCCGACCCCGAGTTTATCCGGATAAAGCGGAAGATAATTAATTAATTAATTAATTAATAATAAATAAATAAATAAATAAATAAATAAATAAATAAATAAATAAATAAATAAATAAATAAATAAATAAATAAATAAATAAATAAATAAATAAATAAATGGATGGATGGATGGATGGATGATGGATGGATGGATGGATGGATGGATGGATGGATGGATGGATGGATGGATGGATGGATGGATGGATGGATGGATGGATGGATGGATGGATGGATGGATGGATGGATGGATGGATGGATGGATGGATGGATGGATGGATGGATGGATGGGATGGATGGATGGATGGATGGATGGATGGATGGATGGATGGATGGATGGATGGATGGATGGATGGATGGATGGATGGATGGATGGATGGATGGATGGGATGGATGGATGGATGGATGGATGGATGGATGGATGGATGGATGGATGGATGGATGGATGGATGGATGGATGGATGGATGGATGGATGGTCATCTGGCATTTATAGCCTAATTAGACAGTATAGAATTACTGTCTAATTAGAATTACTGTCCACTATAGATGTTGATCGAAGTTGTACAAATAGGGCTTGCTGTTGGAGCCTAATTAAATTCTGGATGTCTACACTGATGCTTAACTGTTCTCATAAGTAATTGTAAAGAAACTTTCATTGCTTTTTATAGATTAAGGACATTTTTCAGTGGAGAAAAAAAATGTTTTTCAGAAAAAGTTTGACTTTTTGAAGAATTGGTCAGAAAGAAATATTCCTGGTCAATTCCTGGTCATTCCAACATTCTCCAATTGCATTCATCAGTTCAGCTTTCTATTATCATTTCTTCACTGTAAAGGTTCCGTCAGGTTAAGGCTGGGCTGCTTGATCTCTGCACTCACTATATGGTAGTATAATTATTTCCCTAAGATAACAATTATCACTCTTTACTCTGCTGGGATCAGACTTGGACATGTAAATAAGCACAGTAATACTCCCATTTTTTGAAGATATGTATACATATGTTGTTTTCATACATTTGTGGTCGATCATTTTTATGTACAAAACAAACATCTAAAGCTATAAACCTACACACTTTTGAGACCAGTGTAAAACCACTGTAAATCTGAGTGTAAAGCTGAAATTTAGGTTTGATACGTTATAATAACATAGTTCCAATAAGAATTTAATTTTATATCCAAGACTTCTGCTGCCAAGAATATCTGCGTCCCTTGCAGAAGAAAGGCAGACGGGAAATTTTTCAGTCCCACTCTTGCTGTGGCATGCCAGCAGTAAAATTATGTTCATCTGAAGTAGCGTGATTTTGACTTTAATCCTCCAATCTTTTCAGTGGCTGGGTGAGCCTGCAGATCTTGACACGGCAACCCAGTGTCACAACATTTAGGGAGCCCCGTCAAAAACCATAATGGGCACTGTTTCATCCATACCGCTTCCCATGCCCCCCCATGCAATGGCAATGCATTCCCCCGGGGGCACGCCCACCCTTTGGGAACCACTGCCTTATAGATTCTATAATGTTATAATTCTATAATATTATACAGTTATTTGACATTAATTCTATAACATCATAGGGGAGGTGGTCTGATAAAATTTCTCCTTTACAGTTGGATTTTACAGTTGGATTTTTTTATTACTTGTATGTCCAAATGTTCTATGCTATTCTATTCTAGTTTTAAATAGTAATCACCTGTTAATGAGGGTTCCAAACAGCAGCCTGATGGTCCTCTGGATGTTTTTTGAACATAGCCAGCTCCACTGCTCCTTCATCAGAAGACACAGGATGTTCAGAGCCACCTTGGCCTGGGACATTTCACCTGCTGAGTCTGAAACACACAACAACCAGTTACAGTATACTGACTCAACATAGTAAACATGAGACTACCTGAATATCTGAATGAGAAAAACAAGCATGATATTCAGTTATAGTGAGATCGAGAATGTCTGTTTGATTATGATCGATGAGCAGACTGATGAGCATACAACCAACCAGTCGGTTTATTTACACTGCCCTCATGTGGTTAACCTTTAACATTGCAGAATGTTAATCAATCGATAGGGATGAATGAAGGTTTTAATAATCAAACAAATTTAGAGTTTTGAAAACAGTGAAGCTTCAGTTTTTCTAATGAAAGTGATTTGTATCATTTTGACAGTTCCCACTGGTGATGTTATATCACGCAAAGTGATCAGAGTAACTCCTGAGGACAAGAATAGTTCATTAAAAAGCCTACTTTTTTTACGTGTTGGTTGTCACCATGATCTTCCACTTGACAAACAGTTGAGATAAGGAATTAGGAATGTTTTCAGGAGAAAAACACTACAAAGACTGGAAAATAAATCAGTCCTAAACTTAGCAAGAGGCCAGAGAAGAGAAGTTAAGATAAAAGGTGTCTCTTTTTTGATGCATGTTGGGAATTTGAGTCAAGAGATTAATGGTAAATGGCTATAATGTAAACACAGCTATGCAAATAGCCTGCATTTGTAGAAAGGATTGATTAAGACTGAGGACTCCAAAGCACTACAATCAGTCATTCACTCATTCATACACACCCTGCCTTAAGAGTTATGATCAGCCCAGCCCCGTCAACTGGATACCAACAATTGTGCAGCATTTTTAATAGAATAGTCAGGCTGTTTTCATAGATGATCATCAAGCAGACATGGTTCCTTTGCGGGCCCAAATTATTTTTGTTCAATTCTCAACTCCTGTGCTTCTCCTCCATACTGAACTGACTCAAACCAACCAAACTCTGACTCGGCCAACCTTGACACAGGCAGTAAAAATGGCAACATTTTTACTGCCATAAGTTGAGGGCACATATTTTCAGTATGAAAGCAGGATTTTATGTCTTTGTTCTTAAAACATGTAATGCTTCCACTCAAAACTATATCTCTCAAATTTTCTGTTTCTCTCAAATTTTCTGTTTCTCTCAAATTTTTCTCACACTCAAAAATTTCTCTTTGCTACAATCAAATCTCCACTTGCAAACCTCTGCACACTTACAAAATTCATGAAAGCTAAGGATGCTGCATTCACTCAATAGGATCATTAAAGCGAGCTTAACATCCCCCTCAGCACCATATTTATACCACTTGGTGACTCTCCTCGCTGTAAATCAACCCCCTTCAGGCTGCAGGCCCCGTCAACAACCCAGGGTGAGTATTGAGGGACTGAGCGAGCACATCAGCTGTGTGAGGTATTGGCAGAGATCTTCAACACCTCACTGTCAGTAGCATCTGTGCCCATCTGCTTAAAGACCCCACTATTGTTCCTATCCTCCAGTGCTCCACAGTGATGGAAGGTCTTCCGTTAACAGTCTTCAGTTACTCTGAGCTGAATAACTGAAACGTAAATGACCACCACACTACAGCCTTAAATCTCCTTTCTTGGACTGAGTCCCACACTGGGGAATTTAATTCCCTGACCAACAGTCCTTAGCATAATGACCTTGTAACTGTCAGTTAACCATACCATACCATACCAACTTTATTTATAAAGCACTTTAAAACAACCACAGCTGAAACAGAGTGCTGTACATAAAATAGATATAAAAACAAATACAGTTTAAAACAACAAACATACAATGTAAAACTAGATCTCGCTGGAGTTGAAAGCCAAGTAAAATAGATGGGTTTTAACACCACCATTTCCTCCTCCATCACCCTCAGCATTGGCTTGCTGCAGGGCTGCATGCTAAGCCCCCTCCTCTTCACTCTGCTAATGTATGACTGCTCGGCAAGACACCCTAGCTGTCATATAGTGAAGTTTGCAGATGATACAGCAGTAGTGGGAGGAATCATGAACACTAAATAGTCCAATTACAGTGAGGAGATGGAGCACCTGGTGCTCTGGTGCACAGAAAATAACCTCTGCATCAACGTGAAGAAGACCTAGAACACAGGTGTCAAACTCCAGTCTTCGAGGGCCGGTGTCCAGCAGCTTTTAGATGTACCACAGGTACAAAACACTGGAATGAAATGACTTAATTATCTCCTCCTTGTGCAGATAAGTTCTCCAGAGCCTTAACGACCTGATTATTCTATTCAGGTGTGGTGCAGTAGGGGCACATCTAAACGTTGCAGGACACCGGCCCTTGAGGCCTGGAGTTTGACACCCCTGCCCTAGAAGATGGTGGTAGATTTCAGAAGAGACAAGGATCCTCCTTAATCCTCTTTACTTGAGGTAAAAGTTAACATTAATGACACTGTAGTAACACTTAATGACACCTTTGACTGTTTCTACTTCTTTCACTTTACTTCAGCTAAGAGCTAATACTGACTGTTAGTAAAGCAATTGACACTGTAATAACACTTAATGACATCTTTATAAGTGGTGTTACCTGTTCCACTTTACTTGATACAAGAGGAACTATTAATGGCTTTGTTATTAAATCATTTGATTGTGTAATAAAACTTAATAAAATCTTTATTACTGGTCTGCATTATATTTTATTTCAGGTAAGGGGATATGTTAATAACTGTGTTGTTAAAGCTTTTGACAGTGTAATAATGCTTAATGACAGCTATAACTAGTCCAATGTTTAAGGGAACATATTAATGATACAATTAGAATGATCTAATAACTGTCAGTTAACACTAACAACAAATGACAGAGTAATATAACAATACACAAAGATGCATAGCACAGATGATGATTCTTGGTTAATGTGAAGTTGTGCTAACAAAAACGTTTTGAATAATATCAACTTTGCATTAAAAGTGTCATTATTTACCGAACGACACTTAATGACAATAGTAATAAAAAAACTAGTGCCATGTCAGTCTTATGCACACCCCTTCAAATGCAGTGTTACACATAATTCTTATTGCTCTGTTTTGCTGTTTAACTAAGGCTTGTAATGAATTTGCATACTTATTGCCCTCATCTCTTCACAGTACTTGAGGCATGGTAAAACTAAAAAGGGACTGTGTAATGCTTTCTTTCCAACCAAATGCTTGGCTTTAGTCAATATATCTTTTAATATTTAGCTTTTGTTTTTTGCTGGCAGCAACACAATAAATTATTTTTCACCACATCCTGGGTCTCCTGCCTCTACCTCATCGCCTCCTCATCACCGTTCACCTGACGTTCCTGACACTTATAACCCTTCTCAGATTGTTGGGAACACCTAACTGCTACCAATCTCTTCAAATCCAATGGAAACAGTAAGGGTACACAAAGCTTTTGTCTTTGTCTACAACACTGCTTCTCCATCTTGGTTTCAGTCTTTATAATGTCAGCGGTGTTTTAAAAAGGTGAAGAAAAACCCCGAGTAGTGAGACGTTCCTTACCGTGTTGCTTAAACTGCTTTGCTCTCACATCATGTCCCCGGCAGCCAACCCACTGCCCTAACACAGGACCTCCCTCCATCTCTGGCTCCTTCAGTGACGACTTTTCCTCCTCAGTAATGAAGGCTTGTAAAGCCACCAGAGTCATGCCATTGAACACCTGAAGGAGACATCAGGATCATGACATGAGAAAACAAATCCCATCTTTGCTACATTGAGGGGGAAATTATATAAATGTAACATATAGTTTGCCCGAGTGTGTTTCAAAAGGAGCAACACTAAGTTTTCAACGGAAGCGAATTACAGAACTGTGATTAAACTTCAAAAAAGTTTACGTACTGTGCTGGTTTGGTCCCAAACAAACGACACAGGAGGCCTAATTTCTGAGCCGTTCATGACGAGGACGCCTTTGCTGGAGAGCTTGAGACGTGAGCTACGATTAGGAACAGTAAAGATGATGTTAACTGGTAAACATCAAAATAAAAATAATGAAGTAATTATATTACTTCATTAAGTTAAAAATTATTGTAAATGTCTTTCAATGTAATTGATGATGGGACCCACCCTCCATAGAATAAGTAAAAGTTAGATCTTGTAAATTTGAAAGCTTAGCAATAAGAGACTGTGCGAAATGGAAATTTCTCTTTGTTGCTTCCAACAACTTATTGTCTAACCTGAAATGTGTTTTATTGGAAATAACCAAAAAAATAAAATGTTCAATATTAATTACTTAAATAAAGTCTGATCATGTAAAAAGGTTTTGAACTAGTTTTTAAAACCAGGGTACTCCGTGGATAGAATGTATGGAGAACTAAAGATGTCTCCTACCGGTTCTTCTTGTCTGATCCCATCTTCCCTCCGTCCACCTCGGACTCAGTGTCCTCTGTGGGGCTCTGAGGTTCAGAGTGAGGGAATGCTGTCTTCAGGGTGCCTACAATAGCATTCACCACAATCTACATATGCAAACATAAAACATATGATGACAAACCCCAAGCGTGCTCCTGACAGATCATGGGCTAAACTTGACATCACCGATACAGAAAATCTACAAGACATTTACCATTCTACAAAAGATTTTCAGAAGCCGTTTGGTGAAAATTATGGAAATATTAACAGTGAGATAGTTAAGAGGTGCATATATGTACTTTATAAAATTCAAACGTATCGAAAAGATTTGTATTTGTTACATGAAAAGTAAGTGAAATTGTGAAAATTTGGGTGAATCACATCAACATTCTAACCCTAACCCACAAAACGGGAATGTTACCATTCAAATTCTAAAAGAAACTAAAATAATAATAGTAATAATAATAAATCAGTGAAAGAAGCAAACAATGGGTGTATGTGCAAATAAATCTTTAACATATTTAATCAAAAACCCTGACCTTTAAATATGTAAATTCCTTCCCAGTCGCAAAATTTTTTTAGTCACCTTTTAAAGCTGACCTCAATAAGTTGTCCAGACTTTTTAAAAGTCTGATGTTTCTCTGGACCTCAGCTGTTTTTTTTGTTTGTTTTTTTTACTTTAATCAGTGACAATCTAGGGCATTTAGGAGCATCATCATATATCCTTCCTCCTGGCAGCCATTACACTCTCGAACCATCACTGCTCCCAACAAAACTCCACAAATGATTATATCCACACTGTTGTTTGCAATTTTACTCATTTCATGCTGACATTTGCAGTATTTTTACTTCTTGTAAATAGTCTGTTTCTGTTTTCTAGGCACAGATATTTTTGTACAATTTTTAAGTAGCCCTACTAAGTTGCACATTTCTATAAATTTCAGTATACTATTTTTAATAACAATAAATTATTATTTCTCTTTTCTTGTAAAGTTGCCTTTACTGGACTGTCTCTTCTTATTTTGTATGTTTAAATTGCTCCATCTTTAATTTTCTTAAGGTGGGACAATAAAGGATATATTCATTCTATTGCTATTTGGTTTAGTCCATAAATCTGACCATAATAACATTTTATGCAGTGTGTGCTTAAACATATAGTGGCAATAGGAAGCATGCGGAAGAGTGCCTGCAGTCAGTAGAATCATGAAACAATAAATGAGTGAGAGTTTGTTGTAATTTATTATTTGGAGACATTGGTGCTAACCGAAAAAGATGGATCTAGAGGTGGGCTAGGAAATGTATGGATAAAGGAAGTTGAAAACCACAGAACAGAGAATGTGTTTTGTGAAGAAAAAAATGCAGAAGGAAGGTGTGACAGGAGGGCGGTAGGGATATGCTCAGATGTAGGTGGATGATCCAGTGGGGAAATAAATGAAGGAAGCAGCTGAAAGAAGGAGGAAATAAAACAGCAGTAGCAGTTAAGCAGTGGATAAAAACAGACTGAAAGAGGTACTTGTGGAAAAAAAGTGTTAACTCAGATCACAGATGCAGTAGGATGGGTAGGATGCCTCAAGTTTTTTTTGTTTTTCTTTTTCTCACAGATAGGACTGTCAATGTTAACATGTTAGGACATGCTATTTAACATGAACATTTTAAGGCATTAATATTATATAACACACATCAATTGAATCATCTATTTTGACAAGAGAGCCTCTCTAACAGTGTGCTCCGTGTGTGTTCACAGCACACACGGAGCTACGAACGGCAAAATATTTTTTTTGCGACAGCAGGCAGCAACAAGAGTTGCTTGTGTTGAGTCTTTAGCCAACGTTGTGCATGTCTAGTTTACTAGCCCGCAATTTCATGTGCACAAGTAACACCAATCTTTGCCGGCTGGACGAGGACATTAGAGTGCTGCCTCATCACAGGAAATGAATGGAGAGGAACATTTCTAAACCAACGTTTAAAACAAACTGACTTAATATAAACCTTCCTGAATGTAAAAACCTGGAAAACTAAGAATCTTCAGATATGGTTGGTTTGAGACAACAAAACATTTTTTGAGAATGTGCATGTTTGATATGGACTTCATATTGCCCTTGGCGGTATCATGAAATGGGGGCATCCAAGAACTAGAAAATAAAATAGATCTAATAAAATAGACCTTATCCATCAATTGGCTCCTGAACAGGTTTGGTACCACTTGCATTCATGTGTAGTGGAGAAAATTTCTCTTAGTTGCTACTGAGGATGAGAGACTACAAATGCAAGATAATTGCTTGGATTTTAAATTGTTGGCATGCAGCAAGAGGGCTTTGAACAGCTGTGTGCATACTTATATTTCAAGCTTGCAAAGTTAGGCATAGTGATTAATTGTGATTAATCAGCCAATGCCTAATTCTTTCTATGGGGAATGCGGTCAACCACCCACGGCGACATCTTATGGGGGATGACAAGACCGACCCCCTCACCCCTCTCACCGCCCCAGATTCTCCAATTGTCTGTGTCTGACAATATGTCCCATCCTTCTGTCCATAGACTAATGGATGGAAGACATAGTGAGATATTGCCATTCTTCTGGGAAAAAAAAAAGAATCATTATAGCGAACTGTGTGCTTATCCAAAGTGGGATTAATTCATTCATTCAACCCTATGTAGCCAGAAGGTTACATGCAGGTCATTTGAAAACATAACATATGACAAGTTTTTTAAGTCTCAAGTTTTCTCAAACATGCTTGAAAACTTATCCAAGGAAGATGAATTGACAACATATAGACAATAGAATACTAGTAAAATGTTGAAATTTCAACCTTGTCTATGCGAGAAACAATGAACGGTTTCTTCACAAAGGCAATCCTAGCATCTGTGTTGAGAGCAAGGAATTCCTGCATCTCTTCACTGTTGGCTATTTCAGAGATGGAACACAGTTGCTGCAGAGATCAAAACAGACAGCATTTAGTGTGTTACAATGGGGTAAAGTGTCTTTTGGTTAAAAAAAAAAAGAAAGAAAATATAACCCCTGACCTTTAAGAAGATTTCAAGAAGTCCTTTCCTTGCCTCAATCTTGTCACTGTCCATGTTTCCAAATGGCATGTCAGGAAAAACTTTCTTTGGACCTTTCACACCTGCAAGTTTAATAAATACAACTTTATTTGGTGTAAAGAAAGTAACACAGTAGATAATAGTATGGAGTAAACATTTTAATGTTGTAGATTCACCTGCAAAACATATTCGCTGTCCAGCCCCCTTCAAAACTTGCCTCAAAATTGTGTCTCAGATGCTGATTTGAAATATGCATGCAATCGTTTATATTTTTGTTGTCTGTTGGATTCCAACAGACATATAGTTTTTTGATAACTTACAGGTTCTTAGTCACCTTTGTAGGGGCAGTATTATGTATTTTCCAGGTGTGTAGTGCCATTTTATAGCACAATCAAGTAACTATGGTAACTTCAGTTGTTATTAAAATGCTATGTAAATCAAATATGACTTAAAAGAAATTGACTTCATAATTTAGCGGTGTAAAATTTGGCCTCTGTCTTTTTAAAAACTCCTGCTGGTTTTGAAACTTAACATCAGAACTCCCCTATTAACCTCTTAAGTACATTTTAAAAGTGCTGCTCTGAGAAGTAGCTCAGCAAATGCTCAGCTTCATCAGGTGTTTACTAATTGCTGCTGGTTACTGTGAAGTAGCTGAGTGGATGTCAGGGAAGAGGTACTCTGTGAGGTGAAAACTGCAGCTGTGAGGAGTAGTTGTGTCCTCAAAGGTGGAACTAGGTCCAATCAGGCATTTTGCACAACTGAATGGTTGCCATGGAGATTAGAAGAGTTCTAAAACATGCATGAAAGAGTTAAACCACTCCAGGTATGTTTTTGATGAGGGAATAATATTATAACATGATGTAAAGCTCAAAAATGTTGATTTTGCATAATACTGTTTGTAATGGAAAGTGAACTATTTAAAATGGATTCTCCGAATTATTTAAATTTGCAGACTATTAAAAGTAAATTATTCAAAGTGAATTTTCTCAATTAATAATGTTGCAGATTGTTTATGGATGTTTATCTGTTTTAATTAGCATTGTTAGTGGTTTATATTTTGTTTTGCTTAATTGCACTTTGTAAAGTTTTAGGGGTTTTTTGTATGTACCCACAGGCTGCTGTAGCTAATGAGGGCAGGCCCTGCACAAGCTGGCAGAATCATTGTACCAATAAATTACTTGAACTGCCAAGATGTTTAGCACAAAGAAATCAACACTTGGTGTCCCCCAGTGAAAGCAGTGAGAGATGTTTTGTTTTGTTGTCTGTATTGTAAGCTTATGTTTTGCATACGTTTTAGTTTTCACACTAAAACATATACAAATTGTGGTGATGTTGATGATCATGGTTGATCTTCATCAAAGAAAATAAAAACCCTGAAATTTACCCATTGAAACTGGTTGAGTAATTCAAGAGCTGGGGGAGCTGCAATACTGTCCCTTTAAATACTAATTTTAGAGATTGTTTAAGGATCATTACCTTTAAATTAAGAATTAGTCTGTAGTTTAAATGTGTTTTAATTTTTAGTTAGTTTAGTATGAAGCCACTGTGCTAAAGTACATCAATTTCTACAGACAACATTTTTTAAATGAGTAAATCAAACAAAGTCAACTGAACAAAAGACAGTTGTACCTACCTTTCATGAGTTTCCGCAGTTCTGATTTTTCTTCAAGTCGAGTCTGTAGGTTAAGGAACTCGCTGTATCTTCTGTTGACCATGTGATATGCCACAGGCTGGAGAGCAGTTGGATTCTCTGATCCTATCTGTATAGACTCTATAAGCTCAGAGCTTTCTTGGATGCTTCCCAGGTTCTCAGAGCCCACCGACGTCTCATACTGGAAACCATAACAGCTTTATTTATTTCCACTACAGGTTAGACTGTGTGTAACACAGGGCACTTTGTATGTACATATCTTCAAAGTAAAGATCATTATGTTTGTAGAAATGTTTGGTCAAAGTTTCACCCTTTTGCCCATACACAATTTTCTCTGACAAAAGATAGTTGTGCGTGAAAATCCAAGTAGATCATTAGTTTTAACAACAGTCAGCGAACTACTGGATAGTAATATTAAAAATATATTATGGGGAGAACTACTTCTGAGTCTGACAAATGACACGTTACTTACTTTGATGGTATAAAGTGTATATGGGTGTGAGCCAGTGCCGCGATGTTCTTTGGCTGTAATGGTACCAGTGATGCGGAGGTTTTGGATAATGACCGGTCCTTCTGGACTACTGAGGGGCTCAAAACTGAACATCGACATGGGAGAACAGCCCTGCAGTGGACTAGCCATGATCAGCTCGCTAGGATTCCCCGATCCAGTCGACTCTACCCCCAAAACAAGCTCTCTGCTTTGACTTATTGCAGGGGAACTGTTTTCTCTTTTCAGATCCCGAAGGCTGTTGATACTGCAAGTTACCTCTCTGTCCCTGAGTGATGACAAGCACCCGTCGTTAGGACTGTCCACAAGTACTGAATTCAACAAGACCTTAGGGTAAGAGCCATCCACTGGACTTGGGGAAACCTCATCCAAGTCTAAACTATTATTGTCCTCAGCAGTTGTGACGTAATTTCTGGATCTGTCGCACAGTGCGTCTTCTTGACCTATTATGAGCAAAGAATCAGTGGAGGTGGGTTTGTAGTCCGCCAAAGGAGAGTCAGGATCAGAGTCAGTTTCTTGGTAAAAAGGGTTAAACTTTCTTCCTCTCATGTAGCATCTTAAAAAGGGTCGAGAAGCTTCCTCTTCTCCAGAAAATGTCTGGGGGAACTTCACCTCCTCTGTGTCAGTCGCATCATAAGCATGGAGTTCAAGCAGAGCAGCTTCCGTGTCATCAGTCAGCTCCGTTTCTGCTCCTTGTTGAAGTGACTCACTGTTCGCCTGAGTTACACACTGTAGAGTTGGAGCCTTAGATTCAGCAGCAGGGTGTGGCAAGCTGCAAGTCTCTAGTTTGGATGCCACAGTGTCTAGTGGTGTGCTGGACTTACAAAGGATTTCTATGATCAGGAGGTTTAACCAGTCAGGGTCCGACAGTTTAGCCACTAGAGGGAGAAAGACATTCGAGGTGATAAGCTCTCTGACAACAAACCGTCCTGTGTTGGTTTCTAAATGGGGTGATGGCACCAAAACATGCAACAGCAGAGCGACAATGGCTCGGACATAGTTGACTTCTGCTGAATCGTCACTCATAGCAATGTGAGGAGTGGCGACAGAGGAATACGCTTCCCACAACTGTTCGCTCTCACTGTGTTGTTTTTCTTTGGCTAACTCCTTGGCCGTGAGGTAGTCCTGCAGGTGGCTGCCCACCAGGTTCAGGACCTTCTGCGTCAGTTCCTGAGAAAATACAAATTTTTCTATGCACATTTTGATTTTGTGCATAATTTCCAAAATCAAAATGTACCTAATGTTAAAGCTTCTTACCTTTCTGTCAATGTGTTTGGCACGCAGTTTCAGCTTCATGGCCATAGAGATCATGGCTTCCTGAACTTCTAATTCAAAACCACTCTCTGTGGATACAGTGGAGTACCATGAAATGACAAAGTCTCTGATTATTTTTCTCACTGTGTTATGAATCTCCTGGTCCAAATATTCTTCGTCCTCTGCAGATGACTGAACCTGAAATGTAGACGAGAACAAATCTGAGACAAATGAGCCTCATAATGCTACATGTACTTTTTTATATATTTTATTACTTTGTAAATAAATACTTCAATTTATTTATAACGTATAACTTATATATTATATTCATTCATTACACACAGACTGATTTCAATTTCAATTGTTTATTTCTTTTAGTGTTGATGATTGACAACTAATGAAAACTTCAAATTCAGTACATCAGAAAATTTTAATATAGTGCAAAGGTTCAATTCAGTTCTGTACTGGATTGACTACTGATGTGACGGTTGTCCAAAAGATGACCTTTGACACCTTGCACAAGAGGGTAAGGCACAAACATCAAAAAGCTGGCTTTGCACAAAGCTCTGTGTCCAAACACATTCATAGAGGTGAAGTGAAGGAAAAGATGTGGTAGAAAAAAAAATAGACAACCAGTCGGCGATACCTGCAGCTCGGAGACAATTGTGAAACAAACCCATTTAAAAATGTGGGAAAAATTCACAAAGAGTGGACTGCTGCTGGGGTCAGAGCTTCAAGACTCACCACACACAGATAAGACATGGGTTCCAGCTGTCACATTCCTTTTGTCAAGCCACTCTTGAATAAGAGACTGCATCAGAAGCACTTTGCCTGAACTAAAGACAGAAAGGACCCTGGACTGCTGCTGAGTGATCCAATGTTTTGTTGTCTGAGGAAAGATAATTCTTAATTTCCTTTGGAAATCAAGGTCACTGATTCTGGCTGCACAGTGGCGCAGTTGATAGCACTGTTGCCTTGCAGCAAGAAGGCCCTGGGTTCAATTGCCGGCCTAGGGTCTTTCTGCATGGCGTTTGCATGGATACAGTGGAGTACTATGAAATGACAACGTCTCTGATTATTTTTCTCACTGTGTTATGAATCTCCTGGTCCAAATATTCTTCGTCCTCTGCAGCTTACTGAACCCAGTTCTCTCTGGGTTCTCCGGATTCCTCTCACAGTCCAAAAACATGACTGTCAGGTTAATTGGTCTCTCTAAATTCTCCTTAGGTGTGAGTGTGTGTGTGCATGGTTGTTTGTCCCGTTTGTCTCTGTGTTGCCCTGCGACAGACTGGCGACCTGTCCAGGTGACCCCCGCCTCTCAGCTGGAACATAGCTGGAGATAGACACCAGCAACTCCCGACCCCGTTAGGGAGAAGGGTGACCGGAAAATAAAATAAAATAAAATAAAATAAAATAAAATAAAATAAAATAAAATTAAATTAAATTAAATTAAATAAATAAATAAATAAATAAATAAATAAATAAATAAATGGATAAATGGATGGATGGATGGATGGATGGATGGATGGATGGATGGATGGATGGATGGATGGATGGATGGATGGATGGATGGATGGATGGATGGATGGATGGATGGATGGATGGATGGAGGAGTGGCACAGAATCCATGTTGCTTGAGATCCAGTCAAAGTTTCCAAACTCAATGATAGTTTGGGTTGCCATGTCATCTGCTTGTGTCAGTCCACTGTGTTTTCTGAGGTCCAATGTTAGCTCAGTTTGAGAGCAATTCCTGCTTCCTGCTGCTGTCCAACTTTATGAAGATACAGATTTAATTTTCTAACAGGACCTAGCACCTGCACACAGAGCCAAAGCTACCAAAGCTTAGGGTCCCTGGTATACCTATTCTTAATTAACCAGCAAACTCACCTGACATTAATTCCATAGAAGATCTCTGGGGTATAGTGAAGAGGAAGATGTAATACACCAGACCCAACAATTCAGAAGAACTGAAGGTCACTATCAGAGCAACCTGGACTCTCATAACACCTGAGCAATGCTATAGAATGATTGGCTCCTCGTCACGCCGCATTGCTGCAGTGATCTGGAGAAAAAGACCTCAACAAGTACTTTTCATGTTCATACTTTTCAGTTGGCCAACATTTCTAAGAATCCTTTTTTTATTTTTGGTCTTAAGTAATATTCTAATTTTGTGAGATACTGAATTTGGGGTTTTTCATTAGTTATGTGTTATAATGATCAACATTACAAAAACAAACATTGAAAATACTTTATATCCATTTGTGTGTAATGAATGAATATAATATACAACTTTCAGTTTTTGAATGGAATTACTGATTTTAAGAAACTTTTTCATGAGATTCAAATTTTTTGACAGCACCTGTAAAGTTGTAGTAGTCTAAGCATGTAGTAATGAAGATGTTGTAGGGTATAATGCGCATTTAATGTTATTAATATGAATAATACGCATTTAATGTTATTAATATGAAATCCAAAATTTTGAAAGTTTATTTACAGATCGTGCCTCGATTAGTTTTGTCTGTTTACTGATCGTGTCTGATCGTGTTTCGATTGGTCTCGTCTGACTCGGGGTAGTGGAACGCGTTACTTCTGTTCCTCCATTACACTGGAAGTGAAAGACGTAACGTCGTGTCCGTGTCTGTTTCCCGTGTCTGTGTTCACCATTCCCTTATACAGGTAAAATTACAACTTATAAGGTTCAGACCTGTATTTAAGTTTATTCTGTTTGCCGAATAAGCAGGGAGTCTTTGAGTTCTTTGCAGTAGTTTGAATTTTATTAAGCGTTACACCCGCATTAGCTTTCTGGCTAGCAACGGCCGGTGCTACATTTCTTATTACTGTATGGCGATAACCATAATGTTTCTGTACAATGTTCAGCACTCGGTATGTGGTTATGTAATATTTGAAACTGTTCTTGAAGATGCATTACAACACTGGAAGTGAAAGACGTAACGTCGTGTCCGTGTCTGTTTCCCGTGTCTGTGTTCACCATTCCCTTATACAGGGTCAACATTTTGGAGGCACCGCTGGGATCGTTTAGCACGAGGATTATTCCCAAGATTCCTGTGAAACCCTCCTGCTGATCATCCCAAAAACAACCCAAATCTGCAGAAAACAACGTGGAGGTCTTCAGCCAGCAGCTGATAAATTGTATCCTGAAGTGTGCACTGACCGCTAGGGATCAACACCAATCAATTGGAAGCTGTTGGGCCTCATTCTGTTGCTTCTGACATCCCGGAATATAAAATGGAGTCGGAATTGGAGAATATTCAGCTGGAGGTAAAAGGAGCGTTGTATAACTTGACAGTTGAACAGCTGATTGAAGTATGCATCACACTGCAGCTCTCAGCACCTGGAAGAGAACCTTTGACTAGTAAAACACGCAGTCATCTAATATCATATGTCATTAAATATCTTGAGCGGGAGGAACTGGCTAGCCTTGAAGATGAAGGATTGTCCGAATATCTCAGCATGTGGGACACAATAAATAAAGTAAAGTCTGTTGAACAGTCACCTAGAGTAGAAACTCAGTCTGATGACCAGGAGAGGCTTCAACAAGAAATAGAGGCACTCAGATTGTCACTACGTCAAAAAGAAAAAGAGGCCCAGGGGTGTAATGGACAGAAAAACACTTCCTTGCCCACAGGTTTCACAGATGAATGTGACTCCAACATTTTCAGAAAACCCAATATGGCGCAAAGATTTCAAGATTCTTGGACAGATAGGGGAGCCGGGCCAGAAGGATCGACTGACTTTCTCTAGCCTGGCAAGACAGATTGAAAGTGGGCTAACCAAAGGCTATTCAGAGACAGATATTATTGATGCTGTGATCCGTGCTATAACACCCGGCCTACAATTACGGAGCTATTTGGAAGGGAAAGAGACCCTTACCTTGCCTGCTCTGCGCAGAATCTTAAGGTCCCATTACAGGAGAGGGGCGCTACGGATTTATACAAGCAGCTAACTTCTGAGGTACAGGGCAGTAAAGAGTCCCCTCAGAATTTCTTAATCAGGGCGATGGACCTGAGGCAGAAAATTCTGTTTGCCTCTCAGGAAGCAGAGTCAGCTTTAAAATATGACCCTGCTCTTGTCCAAAATCTGTTTATGCATACAATCTTGACTGGTTTACAGAATGACAACATCAAGAGTGATCTTCAGCCTTATCTCACAAAGCCCGACACACCTGATGAACTGTTGTTGGAGAAAGTGAATATTGCTTGTACAAACGAAAAGGAGAGGCAGGACAAAAAAAGGCACGCGGCCCCACAAAGGGGAACCAGTGTAAGTACTGTCCAGACTGGTGAGCCCCCTAGAGAAACAAAAACTTCCACGCAAAACAGACCTCAAATGTCCCCTGATGTGCTATCTGAGATCAAAGAAATGCGCTCTGACATGGTGTTGTTAAAGGACCTCAGGGCTGAAGTGTCCCAAATCAGGGAAACAATCCAAAAAAACACTAGTGCAGAGCCAAAGCAACCCCCACCGAGTACAGAGCAAGTGCCTATCGGAAATCCATTGTTCTCACCCCCAGAACAGTCCTTCAGGTCCATGTCTCCAATGGTGCCGGTTTACCCTCAACAGTATCCAGAGTTGTTACAGGAGTACAGGCCGCCATATGATCCAGGTGGATGAGAGGGACTGCACAATTTCAACAAAGGTTTGCTCCACAACGACATTACCAAAGACCACGCCAGCAACCCAGATGCTTTGCTTGTGCCCAAGCCAATGAGGAATATTGTCAGCATTGCTTCAGATGTGGGAGTACTGAGCACTTCAGAGCAGGTTGTAGGGCAGACAGAGCAGTTAGTTCAAACATATAGGAAACAGTTAAACTAAGTTGGGTTGCCTCCGTGGGGCGCGGGGCAGCCAAAGCTAACTGTAAGTCCCATTTTTGTGTAAACTGTGAAAAAAACAGACAGTGAAAAAGGAATTAAAACGTTGCACTTTATTGCTCAAAAACATGTCAGAAAATGCATTGGCCTGTTCACAAAATTGACTGCAAATCACACTCATGTTTCGGTGTTAAACAAGTCAGGCAGCTACATGAAAAACCTGAACCCAAAAAACTATCAAAGCTCCTGTTAAAGGCCAGACTATCACAGAGTTAGTAGGAAAAAAATGTATTATCAAGTGCTTCATGAACGGACTGAATACTCAAGCACTCTGGGACACAGGTTCACAAATATGTGCTATAGATG